CTAATACGAGATAGTTATATGATATAAAAATATAGAAATAATTATAAAATGTAAAAGTTATAAGAAAATGTGATTTTTCATAACCACGAAAAGATTAAGGAATTAGGGATTTTTATGCTACTATGGTAACAATATATTATAAGAGAAATAAATGAATATTAATTTAGAAACTTTGTATAAGTTAATTTTGAGTCTACTTAGATATGTAAACAAAATTATTGAAGTCAATAGTAAAAGTATACTATATTAATTTATAAGTTCTTAAATTTGAACTAATATAATTGTATATTTACTATTTTAATTTTTTTTAATTTATTATATATTTAATAAATATGATAATTTTTTATTCAATAATAAAAACTTTGATTTATTAAATGATTAACATTAAATTTCTGATAATATATTATGAAGATATGTATTATAAAGTAATAAATTATATTTAAGATTTAAACATTTTAATAATTATTTAATATTTAATACAAAAATTTATCAATTTATAAAAATATAAATAATTAATATTTGTATTATTCTTTATGTTTAAAAATTTTCTAATATTATATATAATTTTCTGAAAGTTAAGAATATTTAGTTATTTTTATTTAGTATTATATAATAATTCTTAAATTACACATACTGACCAAAAGTATTGGTTATATAATAATGATTGAATAAAATTTTGCCAAGTCATATTATTTCAAATATAATTTACTTTATGAAAATCCAACCAAATTTCTAAAACTTTTTTTTGTTTAAAAGCTAAAGAGTTCTGGATTTTTTTATTTTAAGATAATATCTTTATTTTCTACTTCAATTTTCAAAAAAATTACAAAAACTTGAGAGTTAACCAATTTTGAGCATAATATAATTATTGGTTTTCACAAGAGAAATCATACTGTCACAGATATTGAAAAAATACTTAAAATATCTAGAATAACTTGTATTAATATAATAAAAAAATTTGAAAATCTCAGACTATATCTAATATTCCTTGCTCAGGAAGATCATCTCTTTTGAAGACTATTGATAAATATCATTTTATTTATACTGCAGTTGTCAATCAGAAGGATACTGCAGAGAAAATAATAGAAAAATTTAATAATCTTGGACTGACTCAAGTTAATACAAGTACTGCAAGATGTATTCTACATGAATAAGGATATTTTAGCTATATTGATAGAAGAAAATTACTTATTTCAGAAAGTAATAGAAAAAAATAGCTAAGATAATATAAAGAATAAAGATAGTAGGATGAAGAATAGAAGAATATTATTTAAAGTGATAAATTTCACTTTCTTTTGTATGAAAATGATGATAGATATTATATATAGCATAAATCTCATGAATAGTATGATATAGATTACATGTTTTCTACTATAAAAAGTGATAACAAAGATATTATAATTTGGGAATATTTTACAAAAAAGAGACTTGGTCCTTTAGTAGTTATTGATAGATCAATTATAGATAATATATATAAAATACTATTAGAAAAGTATTTATTAGACTTTATACAAAGTCTTGATAATGATATTACATATATTTTTCAAGATGATAATATACCTATATATAGCATAAAGTTTGTAATTGAATAGAAAGAGAAAAATTTGATTGCCTCTCTTTCATGATCTGCACAAAGCCCAGATCTTAATCCAATTGAGCATCTATGAGATGTTTTAGATTAATGAGTACATAGACTAAAATCTCATCTAAAAAATTTGCAGGAATTGAGTAATACACTAAAGACAGAGTGATTAAAAATTCCTATTAGTAATTTAGAAAAAGTGGTAAATAGTATGTCATGTAGAGTCAGTGCTATAAAAAGTTCATATTTAGGTGAGTCTATTGATATAAAGTTTATTATGTGTTGTTAATGCTTTTGTCATATAAAGTCATTTTAAATTCTAAGTAAAATTTTGCATTTTTGATGATAATCATCATGTGACCAATACTTTTGATCAGTATGTGTAGCTTTTTATAATAAAATCTAAATATTAAAATAATATTTTATTTGATTAAATTTTTATATATTAATTAAAATATAATATTTTCTTAGAATTCTTTTAATAATTTTTCTGATATAACAAAATATATTTATTTTTATTTTTAAAAATATCAGATTAGTATTGAAATATATTTGGTTTGATATTAAATTTTCAAAGAAATTCATTATATTTATTGAAAAAGGTTAGTAAATTTTATTATAAATATCAATTTAAATAAACACTTGTATTATGAAATAGTTTCTTAATAAAATTAAATCAAATAAAATTAGAAAATTTATCTCTCAACTTTATTTCTTTTCCAATAAAATTTTCAATTTTATAATTATTCTGTAAATAATTAATATACAAGCTTGTAAAAAGATTATATTAAATAAAATATTAGTACAATTAGCATATCATATTTATTATAATTCTTTTAAGATAATTTGATAATTTATTGCTATTTTCAATTATTTATTATTTTTATTGTATTTATTTTATATAATTTTAAGAGGCAATTATTTATTATTATTAAGTGAATATAATCGAAATTCCAATCGTTAAATAAAATTTATCCAGATAACATTAGTTTTTTGTCTTGAAACAACATCTAATATTACTTGTATTATGATAAAGTCAAGAATATGGAAAAATTCATGTTTTTTAAAGCAAACAAAATTAGCCTGAATTTCTGTTATTGTATATTAATAAGCTATTGTATAATTTGGTCAATTCAAATATAAATAAAGCTTCAGTATTAAATAAATCTTCAAAAAATTCAAATTTGATGGCGCCACCGAAAAACCGATCGAGAAAATTTCGCATTATATATTAGTTATGAAAAATTTGCTTTATTAAAAACCTTAATGAAAGTCTGCCACCATATATATATATATATTTATATATTTAATATCGAAATTATTGCGGAATAAAGTAAAGTCCAGTTCAAACATTTTCTATATACAATATTAAAATTAACAAATTTTGCATGATCATTTAGAAATCTAATGTCAGGTGTTGCAAATTAAGCATCTAGTCTATGTTTCTCAAAATATTTTGGCAACCAAATAATCTACATACTCTAAAATAAAACTGATCTATATTTGTCAAAATCTTCGTCAAGATCATCTAATAAACAAAAGTATTCAAAATTCAATACTCAAATCCTCGCCAAACAGCTCCATCAATGTTTCCTTCACGGACTCATTTCCATTCACGTCAGATCTTCGATACCACTTTATCGCCTCATGCATATCAAATGGGATTCCCGCGCCGCATCGGTAACAATCTGCCAGATTAAATTGTGCCGAGGAATCATGTTCATAAGCGGCCCGTTGATACCAAAAAAATGCGGCGCGATAATCTTTTCGGACACCGTTTCCTATCGCATACAAGACTCCAAGTTGATTTTGCGCCGACGGGTCCCCGCCGTCGGCTGACTGTCGATACCAACTATAAGCTTTTCGGTGATTTATTTTAGTGCCGATGCCTTGTTGATGACACCACCCTGCAAAAAATTTTCCGCGGATTGATCCGTTTAACGCAGCTTTTTCATAATACTTGAATGCTTCTTTTTCGTCGGGCATTACTCCAGCTCCTTTTTATAAAAGGGAGGTAATTATTTATTTTATCGATAAAAGTCATCATTAACAATAAGATTCCTTCACTCTCCTGTATTACCTTCATGATAACATTTTCCAACCATTACTTGTGCATCCAAGTCACCATTCTCTGCTGCTTTTTCAAACCATTGAAATGATTTTTTCAAATCCCTAGTGCATCCAATACCGCGAGAATAACAAGAAGCCAAATTATATTGAGCATTGACATCGCCCGCGTCCGCTGCCAACTTCCACCAATAAATCGCTAATTCATCATTTTTTTCACGACCAATCGGTTTATAATAGCAATAGCCTAATCTCGCTTGACCTAACGCAAATCCAGCATTTGCACTTTTCTCATAAAGGTAACTTGCTCGCGATTCGTCGGCTGTTGTGCCGATTCCATAATGGTAAAAAAATCCAAGTATTAATGCGTATTTTGGAGTATTTATGTGATGATGATTTGTAATCTGGAAAATGCATTTCTTGTTTAAGTTTGTTATGTTTATCCAATCGTAAAGATCTCTGACGATTTTTTCATCAGTGTCTCCGCGACTTTTCCTGTCTGAATAGAATTCATAGAGCTCATCTATTATCTCTGGTTCATTCTTGCTTATACGAGTCATTATTTTTATTACAGTGGTATTGTAGATTTTAATTGTTATTCTTATCGTTATTGTTTGTTATTATTATTATAATTATTATTATTATTACTATTATTTATTATTATTATTATTATTATTATTCTAGTACTCTATATTGATAAATGTATTTATTTGTTATTTGCTTATTTGTTATCTACTTTTCGATACGATATTTGTCTAGCACTCTGTGGTCTCTCATTTTTTTTCGAAATCATGCAACCTTCTTATTAACAATAACATGCCTCGACGACGATATTAAGTAAAAAAAGTTAGACAACAGACAAAACAATTATTGTTGTTGTTGAATGTGATACAGCATTAAAGGTTTGCATAAAAGTGCGTGTGTGACGAAATTTGAAACAATATAAATTACATGTATTTAAATACAGTGTGTGTAAGCAATCAATCAATCAATCAATCAGTCGAGTTTTCTTTATTGCCACTTCACCTAGGATACTTTTATCTTTATAAGCATTACATTTATTTTGTACAATAGGTTCAAGAAATTCTTTGTCGGAGTACCAGATTTTTTCATTGCTCCTGAATCGTATTGTTTTTATAATAATTTTTCTTTGTTTTATTAACAATAGATAAAGAATGCTTGCTGTCTAAAGACGGAATATCCAAGACAATGAATGGTTTTCAAATGATGTGAATAGAGATTATTTCAACAACATAAAATATGAATGATTTTGTCGCTTCTTTGTTTGCGGAATATTTTATTCAGAATGTTTGGTTTTGAATCCTTAAATTATTACGTAATTTCATATACAGTTACGAAAATAATATACAAATTATTCAAAATACCTTTCTAGTAAAATTAGAAAGAAGTGCATGTAGTCCAACATCATAAAGCCACAATAGGCTGCAAAAGAACTCAAAACTTGTCTGAAATTTTCATATCGGTTCGCATCTTTAATCCTGTTAAAATTTTAAGAATTCACATTCTTGATTTTTTTATGGTTTAATAAGGTAAAATTAAAAGTGTCACATATGATATTTTATAATGATGTTTTCACGGACATACTTTAGCATTATTCTTTTGTTTTAAAGATTGAAATATCTCCCGGTATTTATCTTAGTAATTCAGTCAATTTTATCCATTACCCTAACCTATTTTGCAAATGAGCTACTTCTTTCAAGAATTTGACGAAGGCTCAGCCACAAATTTGTGGAACGACAAATCACCATCAGGTACGGAATATAGGTCAAATCAGCAACAAAGAACTAGAGATAAATTGTTTTTCAACAAGAGAAGTCTCATTAGAACAATAAACATAATAGAGCATTATTAGCTATCTGTCTTATTTAATCAATTTTCCGATAACAATGCCACTGAACATTTTTCAGGAATTGTGCGTCAGAGTTCCTGACCTCTTTCAAAGTCATGAGACAAAGAACCGGATTTCTTTATTTTCATTTTAAAGGAAATTTGCACAAATATTTCGCTTATCTATACATATCGCCATCTGATCATTTATGCCGAACATACATGTATGTCGTGTAATATATACGTACATGTAATGTCAATAACGATAAGAAATACATGTTACAATTGATCTTTGATGATCGTATCTGACACGAAGAAAACTTGCAATGTAGACTTCAGCAATCGTTACTACATGTACATGTATTGCTTTTCTTGATGTTGAAGTACCAAAAATCGATGCGATTTTATTAAGCGAAAGCTTAATTAGGGTAGTGGATACATATCGATATCATCTTTATCAAAACTGGAAAAAATTGGGTGTACGAATTTTTATAAAATGCAATTTGAATCGCTATTGCTTTTGGAATATATCTAGTTTTATTAATTTGAACTAGAACTTTTGCTTGTTAAAATCACATCTAAGACTGAAATGTACGAAATGCAAAGTACAGTTGGTGCTCGTGATTGTAACGCGAGCTGATTACGGATATGCATGTGCACTCGGTTCATAAGACGACATTCATATGATTGGCTGATAAAGTTACACGAATTTTTGTAATTGATATTGTAAATATTTATATATACATATCACATGATATTATTACGAACTGCTAGAATTAACTCGAAATTTGAGAAGGTGAGAGCGTTTTTCAGTCTGTCGTGCGAAAATTAAGCAAGTAATGGACGCACTAAATAATAAACGAAACGAACCGGTGTTAACAAAAACCCTAAAACGAAATTTGCGTAGGAAGGAGCAACGACGTATTAAGAAGGCGAAGCTTGAGAGACTCACTAATCAAACAATTCATGTAACATCATAAATACAAACGAAATTATAATTTAACAAAATCGCCACTTAATTTAATGAATTTTATTAAAAATAAACTATTAATCATTGAAATTTACGCAATGCCTCTTCTAATGTAAACGCTACATATTCTATGGTTTCATTTTCATCATCATCATCGCAGGGGATATTTTCTGGAACTTCGATTTCTTCTTGCTGTCCTTCATTAAACCGTTTCAAGCATTCTAGTAAAGACTGGACATGTTCATCAATTCCATTTTGTATGAATGAAAAACAATACATACACTTGAATCCATTGTTTATATAGCAAAATCTGTGATAAATGTGACCGCAAGCTAAAACATTAATTGGATCTGTATTTTGGAATTCCGCTCCACGCTGTCTAATTTTGTTCTCTCTCTCTCTCTCTCTGCTGCTTGTGTATTTTCGTAAAATAAATTCTTAAATTCATTATTGTTATATTCAGTAGTTTGGAAATCCTCCTCTAAATCGAAAACAACCTCTAACAGTAAATTTTTATAATTATTAAAGAAATTGGACAGTTAGATGCATCACAAGAATTAAACGAATTTGGCTTATGTAAAGTATTAAATCCTAAAGGAAGATGACATAATCGTGCTTCTGGCATTTTCATTACCATTAATGGAACAATGACATTATTAATTTTTTCGAAGATGGATTCATAATAATCTGTAATGGAAATATTAATGGAGATTTGTAAAATAAGCACGTATAAATTTCTGAAAAACCCTGCGAAAGAAAACATGAACTTTTCTTTATTAAAAATGTGATCTTCTTGGCAGAATACTCATAAGTTGCCCATGTTAATATGTGTGCAAAGTTTTCCCTAAATCCGCTATCATCCAGATGTAATCGGTTGATAAGACATCTATACTTAATGATCTGTTCCACCTCAGTATATTTTTGTGTGCTTCTACGTAGAAAACTGTGAAATATTTCTACAGTTGAATCCGAAAACTTTGGAAGTTCAGTCTTAATGATCTCTAAAATTGGATGATTGTTTAATTCCCAGTAAAAAATATCAGAAAGAAACATTAATGGTGTTTTAGTATAATTTTTACAATTAAATTTAAGAAATATTGTCCAAATGCGAAAACAAGACTCCAATAAGTATCAAAGTCACCAGATCAAAAAAATACAGCATAAATATCCAAAACAAGAGGAATACTATTATCAAGAAGATCCTTGAGTGCAAGATATTTGACATCTTTATACAATCTAAATTTCGCTTCAATAGTTGTGGAGATTTCCTGTCAAACACTATGAGAAATCTCTAAAAGAAGATTGATATGCCATGACTTGGATTTTTGCACGAGAGGCTTTCATTTCCCAAAAATATACTTGTACATAGCAGCAAAAAATGATTGATATTGAAGAAAAATTAATTCTCAGCTATTCAGCAAAATATGTAAAGGATCTATTATAAGAAGAAAAAATAAAATAGTATCATTAATACGTGATAAATTATGATAAGATAAATAATATGAAATTGCTGTTCTAATATAAATTTATCCAGGCCAATCAGCAACAATAGGAATGATATGTCCTTTCTGAACCTTTCTGAATATACTCAAAAATCAAAAATTGATTAATATTAATATTTTAGTATATATATATTAATATGTTAAATTTTTAATAAAAATTTTTATTCATAACATAGATGAAATATTTACAATAATATTAATAGTCTTAAGATATACATCTAGGGAATAGAGATTATTTTCCTGTAAGTCTACAAGGATTACATCTTTCATCAAACAAGCATCTCATTTTTCTTTCAGTCTAGTATCATAACTGTGTATAGTTAATTCTTCCAATCTAGTATTTTCATCAACTATATGAAATCTCTAATGTTGATTATGTGAAAGACCATAAGACTTTATGAATCTTCTCATTATCACATTTATTTTAATTAATTAAGATCAATAAGTGCAGGATTATATATATTCATTTTTGGAATCATACTTTGTGTAATGATTGGATTCATTAGAATCATTATCAAATATATAGTAGTAGATGTAGTTATTATATTTAATATTCATTCTGTATGAATGCTATAATAATCATCAATATTTAAAATCATTACTTTCTCTGTATATTCTGCAAGTATAGAATCAATAGTTTTAACATGATTATCAGATATATTAGTCTTATATCATTGGATTATATAAGATATTATAGTTATATCCAAATTAGCAAGAGTATCTAAAGATATATTAGAAATATCAATAAAATCTAAGTACATCATTAAATCTCACTTAACATTATTAATAAACTTATTCCAAATTTCATAAAGAAAATAACATACAAATAGAATTTATCTTTTTATCTATTCCTATAAATTTTTATTTTTTGAAGAAGGATTAGATAAAAAATATAATTCATCAAAAAATACTTTTAACCTTGCATCTTTTGTCTCGATAACTATCTGAAATTCATTAAAGAAATATAATATTGATTTTTTTTCTTTATTTTCATGAGTATACAAAATATTTATTATCTTTTCTATTACTTTGGAAAAGGATAAACTGGTATTAATATTAATGTTTTCAGCTTATTAGTCTTTTCAGTCTCTTCAAACTCATAATTTATACTATCTTGAGCATGTTGTTGAAATTCAGATTCAATATTTACTATGATTCTATTATAATAGTTCATACAAATACTATCATCTATTTGAAGATAACTTGGAAGAGTAGTATTAGCTTGGCCTTTTATAAAAAT